AACAGAAAAACGTTCCCGTGTTCGGTTGGTGCACGCGGTGACGTGCTGTCGGTTTAACTCTGGTGGAGAGTCCAACTGGCAGCACCCCTCATCCTCAAGGTTTTTGTTGTAATGCTTCAGTGCATTCCATGTAATGCGAAGAAGAGGAGGAGTGAAAATGGGAAAGTTAAAACTCGCCCGATAACAAAGAGCTGGGGTAGCAGGGAGTGTTTGCCTCTCAGGACTTGAAGATAGGCTAAAGGCATGTGTAAGTCGACTTTCTGGGAGAAGCTTTGCTTTTCTTGAGGTTAATGATTCAGTGCCAGCACTGGAGGGGCAGAGTCCGGGGAGGCACTAACAAATGGGAAAGTCAAGGCAAAGTCTCATCTGCCTCTGGAGACCCTTTTCAGTCAGGTGAACTTGCCTGAGTGTTGTTCCTGTGGAAAGAATGTCTTTGTCCGTCCTGCCCTACTGCTTTGCCACAGTAAAGCGATACAAATGAGCAGCACCTGTACGTTTTGTGCGGTAGTTGGCATCTGTAGGGGAAATTCCTTGTCAAGGTGTTTCATTGAGAACCTCGGGCTCCCTTTAGTTCTGTTGAAAAAGAGAAGTGGTTAAAGATAGTGCCATTCAGCCACTTCTACTCTGAGACAAGTCTGTGTTTTTTTCTGGTTTTCCCTTACCAGTGGTGCTGTGTTATTTTTAGATGGTAACGCTATTGCTCTTAGGCTGAATTCTGGGCTTGGGAGGAGTGGATGGGGCAGGGGCGATTCAAGCCGTTATATGACCATCAGGAAAGTAGGAGGCCTTGTGGAAATGTTCTGGAAACATTCTTTTTTTTTACTTCTCTTTTTGTTTTTGTTTTTTTTGTTGGGTTTATTTTGTTGTCATTTTAGGAAACAGACACGGACTGTTGGTCCCAAGCAGTACAACAGACCAAGAACTTCAACATATCCGCAATAGTCTTCCAGATTCTGTACGCATTCAAAAGTCTCTCGGCGCTGGGCAATGTCACTACCTGCAATGACTATGTAGCTCTTGTTCATCCAGATCTTGACAGGGTGTGTGGCTCTATAACGCTTTTAAATTCATAGTGGATACATGTGAAGTGATTGGCAAGCTGTGGTTTGGGTTTGTAGTTGGCAAGGATTGCTCGATGTAGCACAGGGATCAGCTAACAGCTGAGCTAATGTCATGCAGGAGGCTGTGCTGCCTTGTGTTCCCTTCCTTCGCAAGCGAGAAATCTCAGAATTGGATTTTGGACTTCTGACTTAGTTTCAGTTGATCTCTTTATCTTCATTTATCTATATTTATCTTTATTTGTGGATGTGGACCCTGCCCCTGCTGTAGTGAATGCCCTCTGCAGAAGGGAGGGAGTGGGATGTGGAAGTATATTGTTGGGTATATTTGCTTTGCATATGTAAAATTGAATAAATAAAAGAGGGTGTGCACATGTGCAATAAAAACAGCATGAAGAGTTTAGTCAGGACTACAGCAGTAGTTACAAGCTACTGCTGAGCTAGTTGAGATTTGTAATAGTTGAAAGAGGCTGTGGATGTGCTGGTGTGCATGTTTACAGAGGGTGAACTTTAAATGAAACTTTAAACTTTCTTGTATGAAAGTTTAAAATGAGGGCAGAGGAGACAAAGTTGCTGCTTCTTTATGTTTCAGAACTGGTATCTTTATAGCATTAGGGAGAGATGTGTTGTGTGTCTACAGGTAGTGAAGGTCCTTACAGTGTTTGCTTTCAGTTTGGGCTAAAGGTCATGAAGAAATGGGGCTTGGTGTTAAGAATGCAAAGGAGGAAAAAAAGGCGGGGTGGGGAGGGAAGGTAGTGGTATTTGCAGCATATTAAGTGTAAAAAGTAAGATAAGATGGCCAGAGAGGGAGAAGTCAAAATAATTCACAGTGAAAACCTGGAGGGGAAGGAAGTTCTTGGAATTATACAGAAGGGTAAGAAAATTTTGTCCCAGTGGCCTGGGACAAAAGAGGACTGGTTCACAGGGAATGCCCACAGAACAGGTATTGACACAACTGATGTCACCGTGATGCCAACATCCTCCAGAAAGAGGGGAGAAGAGCATTTCTCAGTGAGGGCACAGTGTTGTGTTTAGTTCTGGTGCCCCAGTTCAGCGTGCACAGGTAACTGTGCACAGTTACTCCACATCTGGAGTATAAAGGTTGAGTAAGTGTTTTATAATGATCACAATGGATTGTGAAAAGTGAGGATTCCAGCTGATGGTTGCGTGCGGGAATAGCTTGAGTTCAAATTCTACAGTACTGTTGTGCTGAGGACTTTATTCTCTCTTTCTGTTTGCAGGAGACAGAAGAGATCTTGGCAGATGTACTGAAGGTTGAGGTTTTCAGACAAACGGTAGCAGATCAGGTGCTGGTAGGAAGTTACTGTGTTTTTAGTAACCAAGGAGGAATTGTGCACCCCAAAACTTCAATTGATGATCAGGATGAACTGTCTTCGTTGCTCCAGGTCCCACTCGTGGTAAGGCACTTGTGGGGTTTTGTTTCCTTTTGCCACTCCCTTCCAACACAGTTCTTGGTTTTCATGTTTCTACATCTCATGGGCTCCTAGATACTTTTTTTTTCCTGCAGAGCTGTTCCAAGTGGGAGATGAGAAGGCTTGAATGGGGCAAGTCTCCTGAGACGTTTTCCTTGTCTTTTCTGAGTCCGAAGAAACTGCTTAGCACCTTTAGTTTCCTTCTGAAATGTTGCTTTGTTGGGATTATGCAAGTTGTGCTGATTGGCTCATACAGAATGTGAGATTGGCCAAACCAGAGATAAAGGCAGTATTTAAAAAATTTAAGTAATACAATCCTGTGCGTGCCCAATTGGATTTGTGAATTTCACGATTGCTATGCCTTTACGCTTCCAACTTGTTAGATTTTATTTCACTGAAGGTCACACAATTTTCTCTCCAGAGATTAAAGGCTGTCCATTCATCTTTTTATCTGAAATCTTTATAACTTTGTTGGTGGCAGAAGCTTTAATCTTTTCAGGAGTGTGAGCTGAGACCTTCCACTAAAGGCTTGTAATAAGGATGCGTAACAAAACGTGTGGCTGTCGGCTTACCCTGTTAACTCTTGCTGCTTTGTTTTTGCTAGGCTGGAACAGTGAATCGTGGCAGCGAGGTCATTGCAGCAGGGATGGGGGGGGATGACTGGGTGG